AAAAAAAAAAAAAAAAAAAAAAAAAAATCGACATGTCCATATTTTCATGTCTCCAGGTTTGATATCGACATATGTTTTCAGTGAATTATATCATAAAAGTAATAAAAATTATAAATTTTAATTTATTTAAGAAAAATGTATATATATGGTAAATGGTTACTAAAACGAACCAGCAAATAAAATCTCCATAGATAAAGTACCTTTTATCCTAGTCCATTTTGACGCATATTTCGATTGTAATAGCGCAAGTACACCGCTAGCAAATATTGTCTACTTCCTTTTACATATCGTCATTAGCCTCACGATTTTAAAACGTATGTTAGGAAGAAGTTTTCACACCCTTATAAGAAATGCTTAGTTCTCTTTTCCAACCAATGTAGGATCTCACATCGATATAGGCTATCGTTTGACACATATCCAACACTTGTAAGTGACATAGACTTGTTGACTTTGAATTTCCATGCTTTTTAGACAAGTAATGACACGATAGGAACAACATCAGCAACTGTAATATCCACAAATTAATAACAAATCATCTACCACTTTGTTGTCTACAGATAATGAACTTCAGAAAAGCAAATGAGCATGATGCTTGAGGGGATGGGAACCGTGAGTTCAGAAAGCAAATGTATGGAATGTGCTACCTAAGTAATGAATGCAACTAAATTGACGTCTAACAGTAACGTTCTCAGACAGTGAGCCATATCTTTTCTTTATAAACAAACTACTCTCAACGTAGTTGGTCATGAAAATCACCTTGTTTCAACATGAGGTAGGAGGAGGCTTCGTGTCCGATGCAGCGTCTTTTGAGCTTTGAGGAGATATGGATCGTTTCATTCTGATGTCTCCAGCCTGCTGTTGCTGAAGCTGATGCAGCTGCTGGTACTGAAAATGCTGTTGCTGTTGCTGTTGGGATTGTATTTGAAGTTGCTGAAACTGCTGCGCAGTTAACAAAGTATGAACTGCTTGATTGTTTGAAGGATAGAATTGTTGGCCGCCTCCAAAGGAAGCAAAGTTTGTGATTGATCTACCGTTCGGCATTGCTTGGCCAGTCAAAACTTTCAAATGCTGAATTTCTTCTTTCAGTGCTTCATTTAAAGCTGTCAAAAGAGACAAACTTTTATCAATTTGTGAGAAATCTGCCTCCCATATCTAACTTCCTTTCAGAGCTAAGTCAAGAACTCCTTTTCGAGTTTTTTTTAACGATAAGTCAACCTTTCATTGATACAAATCGAGAAAAATACAAGGACATCTAAAAAAACAAAGCCCTCGAAGCGAAACTCTACCTAAAGGAAGGGGATCCAATCAAGTAAAATGTAAAGAGACTTTGCACCAACTAAGAAGCAGATCTACAGATACAAGGCATGGACATATCGTTTTTTTAAATTTATGACACAGATACAACAAGGACACTTAATAAGTGCTCGATGCATGCCTAATCAATTTTGGATCTACTTTGACGTTGTACAACTAGTGATCTATTGTACTAACAAGTGTCTGATACATGTCCAATAAGTGTATGGCACGTACTGAACACGCACATGTTAAAGACTCTATTGTTCATCCCCCTCCAAAGACCCCACATCAAATAACATACCCGGATTTGCTACAAGAACCTAAAACGGAAAATGGCTAAGTAACTCAATTGTCACTAAAATCTATGTGAAGCTAACGAAAAGCCGAACATGGGAGGACTCCAGTTCATTAACTACTTAAATATAGAGTTAGAAGCACTAGTGTGCCACTCTCATCTAATAACCTCCCAAATGAAACCCCAAGAAAAATGCTAACGTCAATTGATTCTCATCCTCGCACCATGCCATTCACCCAATAAAGAAGTTGGCATCTTCCAACTTCAAGATGCCTTCCTTTCCTGGAAGTTTGTGAGATCCCACGTCAATTGGAGAGGGGAATGAATCATTCATTATAAGGGTGTGAAAATCCCTCCCTAGTAGACGTGTTTAAAAACCTTGAGAGGAAGTCCGAAAGAAAAAGCCCAAAGAGGACAAGATCCGCTAACGGTGGGCTTGGACTGTTACAAGGTCTGTCAATCAATTTCCTACAACTATATCCATTCTAACTGCATTAAGTACCTGACTGCTATCCACATTCTTAAGGTGATACATGCAACCCAAGTATGGCTTCAGACCAACTCATTTATTTTCTCTCTCTCTCAACAAGACACATCATATCCTGCAATTGTTAAAGAGCTATGTACTAATGCATCATTTGATCAACTTTTCTTTGTATTCAACTCTAATGCATGGCCAATTGTGTCATTCCAGTACCAAGCCCTGATGGACCTTACCCTGCAAAATCTCCTACGGTGTTGTATGACGGGAAGAGTAGGCAAATATAAATGGGGCAGACACCTAAAAAATGTAATAACAGAGAAGGAGGCTCTTACCATCTTGCAGGTGAACCTGCTGTTCCATTGTCTGCAATCGCAGCTTTAATTCACTGTTCTCGGCAGTGATACCATTTGCATCTCTCTGGTTGAAAGACGATTAAAAAAAATGATATCATTCCACAAGTGAAATGCAGATAAAATAGAACGTGGGACTCTAAATGATGTGAATATAGAATAAGCATAACAATAATAACACAATCAACCTGTAAGAGAGTCAACTGAGTAGACAAGGAAGTTGCCTCTGTTTGCAATGTTTGAACTTTCCTTTCAAGCTCAGCAATGTACCGCATCTTTCGTTCCTTTGACCGTGCAGCTGACTGTCTGTTCGCCCATATCCTATGCATTGGATAACAGAGAAAATTACAAACACAATAACTAAAAGACATGAAAAAACAGATATGAACCTCTTTCCAGTCTCAAACATGAAAAGATTGGAGGAAACATGTTTTAGAATGGAGAGGAAGCATATTGAAAAACAAACTCTAGGTCCTTAAGATAAGAGAGGAATGAAACATAATCCATAACCAATGCAGATAGATTTTCTAAGCTGAACCACTGCATGATACAAAAGATTGTGGTTCCTTTTTTTTCAAGCAGAAAATCATCAAGGTCTTGATATCTTCTGAAGCACGATAACCGACAAAGTTAATTCCATAAAAAGTGAAATTATATGGAAATGCATAATCCCGTACATTTTTCATCATACAAGCAAAACTTTAGGATGCACTGAAATGGGTGTTGAAGAAATCGAATCAAAAGTCCTCAAACCACACACATAACGAAACAAGTGGTAGGAATTGAAGGAACAAGGAGAGCACACGACAACAGATATGAGCAAACTTTCGTTTAATACAAAGAAATACTGTACAAATAAGGGGAGGCCCCAAGGTCTATCACTTGTTTTGGTAAAAGGGCGTAACCTAACACACACACACAAAAAATGGCAAATAACCACGAGGAAGAAATCATGAAACTAAAAAATAGTAGGTGTTAAGCCAACCTAACCTGTTGTCAAACATCGACAAAAAAATATTGTGGGATCCCACATCGGTTGAGGAGGAGAACGAAACATTGTTTATAAGGATGTGGAAATTTCTCCTTAGCAGACGTGTTTTAAAAACCTTGTGAGGGAAGCCCGAAAAAAAAAGCCCAAAGAAGACAATATCTGCTAGCATTGGCCGCCGTTACAAATATACATAGATATATATATATTATTTGAATACCATCATACAGGTCTCTCAAATTACATTAAAATATGAAGGTACGTTGCATTACATGCATAAAATGAAAAGCAAAGATGATGCTGACTAGAAAATGGGCAAACATAGCAGAGCATGTAGAATCTGTTTTGAATACATCATAAAAGACTACGCCAAGAAAAGTAGACTGTCACTTTCTTTTCATGTCAAACAAAATGGAAAGGAGTTCTGAAGGAAATATACCTTTTTGCACGTTTGGGGTCAATCAACGCAAGCTCAGCAAGCTTAGCAGCTGACACGGCTTTCTTGGAGTCAGCTGCAGAGGCTTCTTCAGACCCCGTGACAAGCATCTCAGGTTTGATGTTTGTCACGCCGTCCATGGACTGGCTATGCTGATGTCTAACTCTCGGCCTCTCCTTCAAACCAACAGCAATATCATCTGTAGAAGTAGCCGCTGCTTCTACAACAGAGGAAGATGAATCACCCACTTGAGTAGCAGAAGTACCAGGGGAGGAATTGAATTTATCCATGTCAAGGTACATGGACAACAAATCTTCCTCAGTATCATCGGAAAGAGAAGGCCCATCACCACCGCCAATGATACCAAGGTCACTATCGAAACAGATATCATCTGGGAGGGTCAGAATCTCTGAATGAGCACGTCTGTGACCAACATTTCGCCGCGGATTTTCAGGCATTCGACTAATATCATGGCTAAACCGATTGGAATCGGTGGACATTCCACGGCCAGATTGACCCCAATCGGAATTACCACTCGGAGCCAATGGAGGCAATGACATTGAAGACGAGGCTGCCTCAGATTTTCCATTGAAACTACTTTCAGCCGATGAAAACCCCGAGTAACGAGTTGATTCCTGCAGAAATCCTCCCCCACGGCATTGGGGCTTCTCGTTGTCCATCAGCTAAGAACACGCTTATAAAGCAACTAAATAAGAAGGAAACTCAAAGCGGCAGATTCTTCTTCCCTTCGAAGCAACAAGCAGATTGAATCAAACCTCGAAGAAACTCAAGCACATTACGGATCAAGTGACTGAAATCAACAGAATGAAGAAAAAGAGAAAATTAAAAAGAGCAGGAGAGTAGATTGCAAAAAACCAAACCAAAACCAGAGATCTGAATCATCAATGTATTCAAAATGGGTCAAGAAAACTAAAATCAACCAGAAGAACAGTGAAGAAGCTAACGATAAAAGGATTTATTATAACACAACACAGAAAAAGACTTGCAGAATGCAATCAAATTAAACTAGACAGAAATTTTTCATCAAACAAGCAAAACTCCACGACGTTCCGAAATGAGTGTTGAAGGAATCGAATCAAAAGCCCTCAAAACAAACACACATTACGAATCAAGTGGTGTAAATCGAAGAACACAACAGCCAATGCGTAGAGGACAAGAAACAAAACAACAACCAGAAATCGAAATCGTCAATGCGTTCAAAATGGGTCGAAAAAACACGACAGTGAAGAAGCAGGCGAACGAAAATTGAGAGAGATGACTTCGAGAGAAGCTGTAGAGAGGGAATCGAACCCGAATTCAAGCCATCGACCCAAATAAATGTGAATGATTTCTATTTTTATTGTGATGAAATAAAATATTATTACGCTCTTCATTCCTTTCCTCCTCGGAAGAGCATCGTCCCGACAATTTTACTGAATTTTCGGGTAGGTTTGAAACAAATTTACTGTAATAACTATCAATTTTACTCAATCTTTTTTGTATAGGTATTGAAAATTATATTCTGATATCATCTTCATTTTTCCATATTCATGTGTAACATAAACCTTAAAATTAGTTCATATTATAGCTTTATTTGTGACGAAAATCTAAATTTGGTACTCGTGTGTCCCGACATTCTCCTATAACATAGTCGCTTATTTATTATACCTATAAATCGATTCTAACATGTTTTATTCTCACTCACATGTATTTTAGAAAAAAATATAAGATGTCATTCAACATAAAATTTACGTTAATTTTGACGTTTTTTTTTTTAAACATTAAGCTCTTTTTTTTCTTGTTTAAAGGACAAATATTATGATGACTAGATTTAATAAAAATACATTGAGTTCGAAATTATAGCATTGAAACTCTATTTTAACCGTTTTGTTTTTATCTTAAAATTTTAAAATTGTTTTAAACGGTTCTTCTCTTTGCTCTCATTTAATTCTGGTCACGGTTCTTCTCTTTTTTAATTGTTTTTAGTCCTCCTCCTCTTTTTTAATTGTTTTTAGTCCTCCTATCTTCAAGATTGCTCTCATGATACTAATTTCCTCGTGTTCCTTCGAAAAATTTAAATATTTTCCTCCTTCTCTTTTTTAATTGTTTTTAGTCTTTCTATCTTCAAGATTGCTCTCATGATACTGATTTTCTCGTGTTCAAAAGACTTTGAAAAATTTAAATATTTTAAAAATAAACAAACTAAAAAATTATAAGATTGCTGTAATGATATTGATTTTCTCTGTAATCCGGACAAAATTAAATATTTTAAAAATAAGCCCATTAAAAAAAACTTTAAAATTTGATCTCTCCTCTCTCAAAATCAATTGAAATATGATAAAAAAAATTAGGACAAAATGATTGAATATTCACAAAGTTTTGTTTTTGAGAAAAATCATCAAAAATCACAATTGAAAATTAGGATAACAGATAAAAAAAATGAGGTCGAATATTGATAAAAAAATTAGGACAAAATGATCGAATATTGATTAGAAGACCTACTCACCTTAAAACATTTTGAAGGCATACTTACCCTCCAACTATTAAACTTTAGCATATGAAATATTTTCGTGTTTTCACCATTTAAATTTTAAACGTTTGATTTTCATATTGTGAGGCGTATCCATGACCGGACTGGTATAATAAAGTTTAAACAGGATAGTAAACCAAAATAGGATCAAAAACCAAAATGAAAATTACTAATTAATAACACATTTGTTTACTAGTTATAGGAGTGAAACACATAAAACCATCATAAACAGACCCAAAATTCCAAGTTTCATGTCTAAGTATAATTATTTGTATGCACAAACAGATTCTTTGTACACTAGAAGATGTAGGTTGTAACCTGTAGAGGGAACCTTGACACTTGAACTTCAAATGGGCTGCCTTCTTGATATGTCAAGCTGAAAAATCATTTCAACAGAACTTAAGCTATTAGCGATATAGAATAGGTAGAGACTAAATGTAATGCTCATATGAGATATACCTACATTGTTGGTAGGAGGTTATGACCTAAGACTATGGACACAGAGTATTCGGAAAAGACATCATTTCGAATAGAAACTCAACCAACCACTAACCGACCCAACTTTTAATTTATTAAATCATAAAATGATTTGGATCGAGATGAAGTAAATGAAAACTTTTCATGACTTAAATCTATGAGATAGGATATAAAATGATTAAGTTCCAAAATTAATTTGTCATCATGACTATTCCTAAATCTTCCTAAATCCCGTACTCGTTCTCTAATCACAAGATAGGCCCGACCAAAATTTCAAACCATCCACTCGTACTCATTCTCTAACCACAACATAGTCCAATTAGGCCCGCTTGAAACCCACACTGACATAATAGGTGGAAGTTTACATAAAAATTATTGTAGTGAACATAGTAAGGAATAAAAAAATACCAAGGAGGGTGAACATTTCCTACGATTTCCTATGGCCATTCATATTCATTCATATTCATATGTACTGGTTATGGACAAGACTATGACCAGAAGGAGGGTGAACATTTCCTACAATTTCCTATGGCCATTCATATTCATTGACCAGAAGGAGGGTGAACATTTCCTACGATTTCCTATGACCATTCATATTCATTCATAGTCATTCATATTCATATGTACTGGTTAGACTATGATCAGAAAGGAGGGTGAACATTTCCTACGATTTCCTATGGCCATTCAAAAAAAATCAGGAAGTAGATTACCTCCCGGGAACAAATGTAAAAGACCCTTCAATGGAGCCCATGGATGAATGGAGAGATGAGCAACTCTCGTAAACAAATTCTTTTTCTCCCGGTTGCAACAGGGGATACTACAATGAAAACATATATTCGTCATATATTCGTCAGCAAGTTTGAAGAACCAAATATTGGGAGAACTCACCAAACAAACATAATACAAAATAATTTTGAACTAATTAATAACTAGTCATCACAATAACGAATTAATAAAGAGACATATTTGAACTAATTAATAACTAGTCATCACAATAACGAATTAATAAAGAGACATATGCTCAAATTGAGTGTTCTCAATCTTTTTAAATAAGAATAGATATAATTGGTCATATTTATTATCCCAAAAATAATAATAATAATAATAATAATAATATATATCTATCTATATATATATATATATTTGTATAAAATACATGTGTATGTAGCTACATATAATATGTATATGTGTATGTAGTTACATATAATATGTATATGCGTATGTAGTTACATATAATATGTATATGCGTATGTAGTTACATATAATATGTATATGCGTATGTAGTTACATATAATATGTATATGCGTATGTAGTTACATATAATATAATTACCTTTCCAATAACAGCCTCTCCATTAACCCTAGAAACCACATAGTCATTAGCTCGAATTATCCAGTGTCTAAGATGCAATTGACATGAGCTGAATGTCATCCCATTCATGATGCAACCTTCAGGCTGCAATGACATGCGAATTGAATATGAAAATTGATAGTTTCCACCACTATCTAGAAGATCAGTGAACTCCGGGATAAAGATAGCAGAAGCACGAACCTGAACGAACAAAATAACACTTGGTTAGACCATAAGATAAAAAATAACTTGACTTTTTATGAAAAAAAAATATCTTACCAAGTTGGCTAAAAACATCTAAAAAGATGGAACTTAGATGGAACACATCATAGATGATACATGTCTATTAGTCTCTGTCTTCTGTATTTATAAGCTTTAACACTTCTTCCCCAAGATCCAAACAAGATAATTGAAAAAAGCTATAATATATTAGGTAAAACTTACACGAACACCATTGGTTGTTGCAACAGAGCAAAAGGGAGGTTCTTCCGGAAAAAGAGAGATGCTTCTAATGTTATTAGTTTCACGAAGCTTGATAATACCGTTTTCTAAGCGTTGAACATGCTCTTCTAGCCATAATAACATAGCATCTTGTTGTTGGTCTGTGTTATACTCATGCACCGAGTTTATCAATGCACCAGGTACACAAGGAATCATCTCTCCATCTTCTCGAAGATTTGCAGTACCCACAAAGAGTTGACCCGAAGCACAATTAAGGAAAAAAACCTTATGAACGAGCGTAGAAGATGAAGCTACAACAATGAATTTAGATCTCCTCGAGAAACCAAGTTCTTGAATGATTGATTTCGTTTCAGTGATCACTTGTCTTAAAGGCAACAAATAAACATTTACCGTCTGTTCATAGAATGTATATCCCCCAATTAAACCGTACGGAAAGCCTCGAACACTATCGACATATCTGCCTTTCAAATCTTGACCATTATGAAAACGATAAAGAATCCTCGTTGGAAGAGGTAGCTTCACTTTTAAAGCATTTTCCAATTCTTGAATGTCATCTTCTGATGCACCTTCCCGAAGTGTCACCAGAGCCTCGGGATAGTTATTACGCAACCAGTTTTCAATTCTATCCCAACATCGCTTAACTCGCTCCACCAGAGGCCATGGATACATCCCAAAAGCTCTCCGCCATTCTTGATAACTCTCCTACAAAGAGAGAGATCAGTAATGAGTTATGCACAATGAATCAAATGAATACCTACCACATCACTCGCTGTATATCCATTCATATAGCTTATGATATCAAACTTAAACATATCCATCTCACAAACAGTATTAAGCACAACAAGAACAGGGCCATAATCCATAAATCAAAGCAAATACAGGTAACATTGAGTAAAATTTCCATCAATCATTCAAAATGGATATCAAGAGCACAATCAATATCCTAACCAATAAATCCTCATCTCTAATTCAAATCATCTGCACCTGATTTTCCGAACTACTATAGATTATTCATCAAATCAAAATAAAATAATGGATACTCAATTTGGTGAGGGGTGTAACCTTGAATGAAGGAACAGGGTTTCCCAAATGATCGATTGGGTCGGTGAGGCCGAGGTCCCGATTGCAGAATTTCTCCCACAGAGAATCTTCGGACGCTGAGGACCTGAATTTGCGGCTGACACAAGCAGCGATGGCAGAGTCTTTAGGGCTTAATTTCGCGAAGATCAAGTGAAGCGCAAGATCGCCCAACGCCTCGACTTCCATTGCTGATTCCGACGAACTCAGTGGAATCGGTGCCGCCTCTTATCGGTGTAGATATGGAGAATCCGTGCGCCACCTTCGACACTTTCCCTTGGCTTCGGCTACTGACGAATTTCGCTTATTATTAAAATGATACGAACCCAACGAAATTGCTAATTTTTACCAAAAAAAAGTTGATGGGGATAGAAACTTTATCCACTTGAAAACGAGTTTTTTCAATTAAAACCTCATTTTTAATGTTCTTGATTGGTTTTCCCCATGGTTAAAAAAAAAAAAAACCTTTTTTTCCCTTATTAATCCAAAATAACCTCCCACCAAACCAAATCATCCTCTCGGATAAGCATTTCGGATAAGCATCGAAGACATGAAAATGGATCTATCTAATAGAATCGGTGGAATGAACTTAAATCAATATAATTTTTTTTTTTTTTATGAGAATAAAATTTGAAGGGTATGTGTGCGTTGTGGACAAGAGTAGTGGCGGCATACAAGTGTCACTCGTCAGGTCATATCAAGAGGCGAGAGAGAATATCTTGATGAAACTAGGGAGGACGAGACATCATTTAACACACCCAGAAGAGTGGTTATCAAGCTAAGGAGTAAGTAAAAACATAAGTGACAATGTCTGGTCGGATGACCCTCGAGTCATGACTAGAAAAATTGGGATTCCATAAAGAGTTTTAACAAGCGAGTCTAGGGTTAAGTCCATAGGATGTAAGCTCGCCAAATATAGTGTAGTAAATCAAACACCAAATGAATGCTCCATGTTAGCATATAATTCCTCGATAATTTTCTAGGAAGAATGTACTAAAACGACGCACGTTAGTATGTGGGAATACTAAGACGAAACAGTGTCAATTCATGATTTCAATTTCGAGTCTAAAATCTTAACATGAAGCAGGTCAATCATTTCACTCACGTATATATAATTAAACAATCATTCAAACCTCATAAAACAACGATCTTATACGTTCGTGAACGTTTCATAACACCAAACGAACTCAAAACGAAAGAGAAATAAAATTAAGCATTGTTGTTGTTAATTTGTAAAGGGTAAGTCAAGGTAGCAATATGGTTATGAGCCACAGTTCCAATCCAAAGCTTCCCATGAACTTCTCTAACTTCACTCATCAGCTTCATAACTTCACCCTTTTGATCCTCAAGAACTTCTAAAAGCTCTCCATTTTCACTAAAAAGAGAGATGACAGTGTACATTTTCATGCCCATAAGCCTGGCCAGCAAGCTCATTCTCAATGGCAGCCTGAAATAGATACTCCTTATCCATGGATTGTGTGCTAGTATCTCTTGTGCTTTTGTTCTACAGCAATCTATGGCTACCCAATACTCGTTTCTTTCGTTTCTTCTTACATTGTCTGGAAACCCTGGAAGATTTGCTACTACCTCTACTTTTCCATTTCTTGATCCCCCTAGCCACAGCTTCATTAATCTGCATCACAATAACGTTCGTATCAAAATATATTAACGTAACGTTTCGTTTTGTTTAAACACTATATTGTAGTCTTGTACTCTCAACTAAACATTATGTCGTAGTTCTATACTCTCAGGTAAACACTATTTCTAGAACCATACTCTCAGCTAAACACTATATCATAGTCTCGTACTATTTGCTAAATACTACATCTAGAACCGTACTCTCAGCTAAATACAATATCTAGTCATGTACTCTCAGCTAAACATTATATCGTAGTCTTGTATTCTCATTTTTGGTTTAGGGTTTAGGGTTCAAGGCATTTGTCTCTATATTAGTCATGGTACTTTCGTTTTGGTTTCTGTGCTTTCGAAAAAGGATCGTTTTTTTGACAAATCTATACTTGATAACTTGTTTTTGAAATGCATTCATAGATTTTCTCTAAAGGGTCTCTATTGTATATAGAATTCGTGTTAGAATATTGCTTGAAAACTAAAACGAACAATCGTTGAAAGTATAGGGATGACCAAAGTGGGTTTTTTGAAATTACAGAGATTAAACAATGACCTATAATTAGAATTTGAAGAACGAAAACATAATTCAAAATACCTGCAATTAGTAGTTTCAGTATAAAGAAGGAAGCTATGATCTTTAGACAATTGCACACCATTTGGAAAGGCCAAGCCATTCAACACGACATGAGTTGTTTTAGTAGGAGGATCATATCTCAAAAGCCTACCCGAAGCTTCTCCTTCCAACAAGATGAAGAAATGATCACTGCCCATAACAACAACAACAAAAAAAAAAAAAACAAACGACATTTAAGCTAATGGGTAGCAATAAATTTGATTATATCAATACTTTTAACGATCGGTATCGAATACTCACACTCGATTATATCTCTTGCTCGTGTCAGTGAAGAAGATGGAGCCATTGTTATGGATATCAAGATCATTGGCAAAGAGAATGGGAGTGCCATCAACATGGGTAGCCAAGGGAGTGGCAATGCCCCCTTGAGGGCCAACCATAAGAAGCCCATAATATGCATCAGCAATGTACAAATTCCCTGTTTCTTTCTCAAATCTTAGGCCAAGGGGCCTTCCACATTTCTTCTCATTCTTCCATTGTTTGGCTGTGGTTGAATCAACCCCTTGTGCACATTCCTTCTCTGACCTAATTTCAATTCCATTCAAACAAAATTCAACCAAAAACGTTGCCCTAATAGGTTTTCGTGTAAAGAAGTGTGTATTTCATGAGCATTTTTCGAGTTTTGAAATATTTTAATTGACGATCTAAGAGCAGAACCAAAATTATTAGTGAACTCTTCGAGAGTTCCACGAACCAGACCCACAAAATAGCATCATAGGTACAACACACACTGAGGGAACTACAAAACTATTAAGAAGGAAAAGGATTAAAAAAAATTAATAATTACCATTTTGTTGTGACAATTGCAAAAGTCTCCCACCCAACTTCCTCACCCATCCATCTAACAATGCGGCCATCAGCAAGCCCAGTGTAAGGCCCACGGCCCAAAGCATCAAACTCCAAGGATTCAGGCCCAAAAACCTGATCTTCAAATTCCAAATTTCCAAGGCCCAAACGGCTCTGATTGTCCTTGGGCCAACGGCCCATTACCTGGCTGTAAGGAGCAATGTCATGCTTCACGGGCCTGAAATCGTGGCCTCCAACTGGGCCCATTTTAAATGGGTCCATTAGTATAAAGCCCAAGACCAGAACAAGGAGAAAAAGGACAGGGTGCTGAAGAAAAGACTCTTCCTTTACTGCTCTTTTCTTCTCCATCTGAAACTAATTATAGAGAGAGAAAGAGGAGAGAGAGAGAGAGAGAGAGAGGGATTTGGGAGTCTCAAATGGAGGAGTTGAAATAGTTGGTGATTTATGAAGGGTTGGAGAAGGGCCCTAATTGTGTGGGAGGGTTTTTAGGGTTGAAATTAGGTTACTTTTGGTTGAAATGTGTATGTTTTATGTGTTTCATTTCTTTTTTCTTATGGTTGGGTGGTAGCATTCCATTCCATTCCATTGTTTCTTAGATTTTCATGCTACTCGTGTTTCAATTCTTTTACGTTCAACAACAAATGGGAAAAGAGACTTTCATTTCTAATCTTTTAATCGATGACATATGTCTTAACTGTTTTGAATACCTCGATTGTTGCATTGCTGTTCTTAATTGTGTCGAATGATGAATATGATTTTGTTTAGTACCAATTTCTATGCGTAGAGTTTTAAGATTTAAACTCAAAATTTTGTATTGGTTGGGTTGGCTACCTAAATGAATAAAATAAAGTTCACAACCTTACTCAACCAACCCTCTATTTTCGGGTTTAAATCTTTTTTTTTAAAAAAAACTCTAAAAATAATAACAAATCTAACACAACCCAACTCCTACGTAAATGAAACAAATTATACTTTTAGCCTTTAAAAAAATAAGTTTACAATTCATTTTCTTTTACTTGCTTCTAGTTAAATACATACATGAAAGAAACAGGAGAACGAAACATAAGCAGTATTAAACGTAGAATAGATCATAGATGTACAAGTATTAAAGGATACATTTAACACCCATTTTCCTTTCAATCTTGCAGGTTGCAGGGCAATGTTTATTACATTCAATTGCTTTAATAATGGAAGGAGTTCTAGAAATACCTTAGCGAATTAATTTCCTCAGCCAGCACCACTCTCCATTGGCATGGCTGAAGCTGGGTTCAGATCAGAGAACCTAAAACACCCCAAAAGCCTTTCAGGAAGCTCACATTTTGTTTTCCCTTCAATGAAAAAGGCTATATCAGCTGTCAAGGTTGTGAAGTAATCAAACGCCAGACGAAACATGGCCCTTGCCATGATATTCGATCCCACGTCGATGTCGACTTCGAAAAAGTTGTCCCTTACGATGTATTTACATGAAAGAACATGCCCAACCACGCAGACTGCTTGGTTCCCAATAGCCTTTTTGACAATCCAAGGGCCTTTGACAATATCAGCAATCAGTTTAAGCCTCGAGTTTCTGAAGTGGTCGTCGCCTTTCAGGAACTGGTCGATTAATGAGCCTTTGACAATCGGCTCTGTCGATACGAAATAAGAAACAAGATTGTAGTTCTGTTTGTTTGGAAGTTGGAGATTAAATGCCCAGATGAAAGGTCTAGGACCTGTAGGAAATGAATCGTTAATCGCCTTCTGAATACGGTTGTTTGGATGGTTCAAGATCTCTCCAATCTTTGCAGAGCTTCTTATCCAGTCGAAACCGAGCGGTTTTAGAATCGATTCACCAGCAGGAACTTTTTCCTTCGTTGAGAAATACTCGGGACCTCGCACCAGGAACTTATCTCCATGAGGAGAATCCCAACAATTTGAATAGTTACCATTTGCACAAAAAAGGGGAACGTTCCCTCCTGATCTCACTTTCTCAATCCACTCAAGCTCATCTTCACCAGAAGGAGCCATAAGTCATCCTGTAAACAATAACATATATATGTATATTTTAACTGTTAAAATCAGAGAAGTACAAAAGGATCTAAAAAAGAGCAAACAATTTAGGCGGAGTTACAAAACTACCATCGACTTCTTATAACCATGTCAAAAATATCTGTAAAAATTCTAGATATTGTTCGATGAAAATTGGGATAAAAAAAATAGTATGAAGGCGCTTGGGTCTCAATTTCGTTTATGCAACAGTCCACGCTACCAGATATTGTCCTCTTTGGGCTTTCCCTTTTGGTTTCTCCCTCAAGGTTTTAAAACGCGTCTAATAAGGAGAGGTTTCCACAGCCTTATAAAGAATGTTTCGTTCTCCTCCCCGACCGATGTGAGATCTCACAATCCACCCCCTTTTGGGGCCTAGCGTCCTTACTGGCACATCTCTCGGTATCTGGCTCTGATAAAATTTAGAACAGATCAAGCCCACCAATAGCAAGATATTGTCTTCTTTGGACTTTCTCTTTCGGACTTACCCTCAAAGTTTTAAAACGCGTCTGTTAAAGAGAGGTGTTCGCACCCTTATAAACAATGTTTCGTTTTCCTCCCCAACCATTGTGGAATCTTACCGTTTCTAGGCTACCCCACACCTTTCCTAGTCTCACTTTCAATCTAACACTCACAAATTTTCTAGTCTAAATATAGTTTCAAAATGTTTATGAAAAGATAACGATACCATTGTAACTTTTGAAAGAACATGTTTATTTTTCAAATCAAAGACAAGGCTCAAAGTTGTTTTCTGTAAGTTAGCCAAGAATGTATGCAAATAGTACTTTTGTTGAGAAGACAAAGGAGGAGAATTCACTATGATGAAAGAATGGTACAACTTAGGACAGTAGCTATCAGTTCCATCCAATATATATGCGCAAAGGAAGAACTCTAAACGGCATTAATCCCTCAGCTACCACCTAATTTACAAGAACGCAAGAGCCTCAACCTGGCCTCTAGTAAAACCTTTAACTCCCACCCGCCCACCCACCCTATGTTTCTAGTCTGATCTGCAGAAGGACATAATTATGCATGTCGAGTAAGCGGAGACTCGATAATCAATACGAGGAAGATTTTTTATCTTAACACTGCCAGATTTCCTTGTCAATTGATCTCAGTAGTGGAGTGAAAAATTATACAGAATTGCCATGAACAAGCGAATGATACTGGAAAACTAAAATCCCCAATTGATCTGATGGCTCATGATGTCTTAACATCTTTGCTAATTTCAAAAACTGACAACTCAATCATGCCTCAAGTGAACTTTCGAATCACCAAAAGCTTTACATTCAGTAGAAAATTTGACCCAACATGAACAAGAACAGAGTTATAAGTAGACCAAGAATCAGCAGTTTCTGTTCATGCAATCAGGCAGTTATAATGGTCGTTCTTACTTCTAACTCAATTCAGTTCATAATCTACACAAATTTACCACTAGCCACAAAACAACGAATCCGAAGTTCGATCAGTCGAAAACTCAAGCACTACTACAAAACAATCAAATCAATCAATATCCAGTTTCATAGCAAGAAATGCAAGTAAAACCTTCCACAATCTCAAGCCAATCGAAGCAAACTCATACCTAATGGTACAACTTAGGACAGTAGCTAACAAATCGAAGCAAACTCATACCTAAGAACACGCAATCTAAGAAACAGGAGAAAAAAAAAACCTCAATCGCGAGCCGCAGAGCAGAAATCCAGCTACGGAGCGATGCTCTGGAAACCCTAATCTTGGAAGAGAATTCAAATTCTACCTTCTTTCTTTATAAGTTCAATCTTCTCGAAATCTCCACACGTTGTTTTCATTGAAATGCTGGAAGATTGAAGAAGAGATGGCCGACTCTGAGAACAGGGTTGTTTCTTCACTTTCAGAGCGTTGGGTAGATTCGCGCTTAGGATTTTGGTGGAAGTTAGCCGCTGTACAATAAAGAACGCATCTCAAGAACTGTTGCGGCCATTGAAGGCTCTGCTAAAGATGAAAAACTCAAACAACGGCCACAAGCATTAATGACATAACTTTATGGATAGCAGTTGGTTTACTAATGGCGGTTGATGAATTGAATTTCTCCCGAACCGATCATAATTCAATTGGTTAACATATAAATCGTCCACGTTCAAACCTATTCTAGTTTACGACGGTTAGCTCTCTCACCTATTCGTCAACTCGAGTATAACAAATTGGTAAAAACATATATCACCAACAATTAAATTCGAGTTTGAAAATTCACCGATTATTGTTCACTATCTATGAGGTGTTGATAGACGATTTTTGTTCATATACTGTTTCTAAACATGACACTAACAGTAGGAGTATTTTTTAAACAAAGTATTAACTGTTTCCATCCAAAATTAAATGATATTTCTGAGATCTTTTTTAAAAATTTAAATATATTATTCAAGTATATTTATTAATGTAGTCTTTATTATGTTTCATCTATTTAGTGTCTATTAGCGTTAATTTATCATGTCATGTCAAATGAACTAACTTTTAGTAATGCACGTTGAAGATGATTCCTCACACGAATATTCGAGTTCTGTTTAGTTTTGACAAATTTAACAAAGATGAACTCTAGAGAATGCACGTTAGCAATGATTTCAAGTTCGGTTTAAGAATGTATATCGGGAAACCAAAAGGTAAAATATGACCAAATTTAGGATCCAAATTTGACTTTTTTTTTTTTCGAATTGGGTCGAGCTATTGGGCTACATTTGGGCTTGGCTAAAATTATAAGTCTACGATAACTTTTTTTTACTAAATTAATAAAAATACTCTTTAATTTTATCCATGGGTTAAAAAAAATATTTATTTATACATATTATCTAATAATAAAGATATATATATATATATATATATATCTTATTTTTGTTAAAATAAAAATGTAAAAAATAATCGGAACAATCTGAACCCACCAAAAAGATATACGCAGCCAAATGGTGAGGAGAGAGAAAGTTGGTGAGAGAGAGAGAGAGCTGTAAATGGTGTGAAAGGGTATGAAAAATGGAGAGAAGAAACAGTCAAAGCCTCCACTGTAACAGTGTTTTTATAAAGTCAAACTCACAAAAACATCAAACTCTCGCATGGAACATAAACAACCATAGTATTTGTTATCCACAAAACATCCATCATTAAAAATGTCTAAATTTTCAAACAAAAAACCACCAAATTTATTATTTTTATAACTTGTTGTTCTTCGTCAACTCTGCTAATGGAAAACGGACTTCAAAAAAAGAATGATGCTTCATTTCTTCTCTCAAATCTGTGAGATCTCACAATCTACTCTCTTTGAGGTTTAGCGTCCTCGTTGACACACCACTTGGTGTTTAGTTCTCATATCATTTATCACATATATTGTCTGATTTTGAGTCTTACGGTTTTAAAATGTGTTTGTTAAAAAGATTTTTTCACATCCTTATAAGGAATGCTTCGTTCTTTTCTCCAACCGATGTGGGATTTTACACTAAGACATTTGTCTAAGGAGAAAGTCTTTGCAATGGTCAAAGATGCCGTCGTAGAGGTGTGAAGACTATCATTTCATCTATCTGTTCATTCTTTAGAGATTTTCTACCGTTACACAACCACGGTTTAAAGATTTTGATCGTCAGTGGCAAAGACATTTGAACCGAGACTTTAGTTTAACCGTTTTTTCTCATAATTTCAATCTTTAAATGTTAATTCAAAAATATTAAAATATAAAGGATAAGATTAAAAATATTTAAATTGAACAAATATCCCATAAATGAAAATGCCACGTCATAGACATGTGTACTGCTACATATTAGTACGTAATGTTGTTGGTCCGAATTCTGTCCATTTTATTTACACATAAGAAACTTTAAAATTAATGAAGAAAAAAAAAAGTAAATCCACGTGTGTAAATCATTTCACAAATGTTGAAAGGGGGGAGTTACGTCCCCGGCTCATAAATTCTATAAAAATATGGGGTCCTCCTGTAATTAATGTGAAACTTTTGGGCTCATTTGCAACTTTTAAATAAAATCCCTTCTCACGTTTTAATTTTCAAATTTTCAATCTACCGTCCACTCTCCTACATACATAGGGTGAAAACATAAACAACATGAAAAATAAAGACTAAAATGAAATAAATAAACTATCAAACTATCAATCGAACGATAGATCGGGTTAAGATATTATATATCTATTCTAATCGTTAGTCATCCGACAATACTCTACATCTTCATATTGGTGAAAGTAAAAAAGTAATTTCGGTAAATTTTCACGTTTCTTAATTCTAGACAAATTTATAACCATGTAACAGCATAAACATACTGTTAGTAGATATTGTTTGTTTTAGTATGTTATGTATCGCCGTCAGTCTCGCAGTTTTAAAATGCATTTACTAGAGAGAGGTTTATACACTCTTATAAGAAATGTTTGGTTCCTCTCTTCAACCGATGTGGGATCTCACAATCCGCCCCCTTAGGGCACAAGCATGACCATGACACCCAGCATCTTCGCTTGCACACTGTCCATTGTCTAGCTCTGATACCATTCATAACAGTCCAAACCCACTACAGATATTGTCCGTTTTGGCTTGTTACGTATCGTTATCAGCCTCACGGTTTTAAAACGCGTTTACTAAATAGAGATTTCTACACCCTTATAAGGAATGCTTCGTTCCCATCTCCAAAAGATGTGGGATCTCACAATCTATCCCCCTAGGGCCAGCATCCTTAGTGTCTGACTCCGATACCATTTGTAATAGTGCAAACCCACTGCAACTTTGGTTCGTTATTTATTACCGTCAACCTGATGATTTTCAGTTAATTGTAAGACTATTTTGATAATTTGAAAGTCAAGTACAAGAAGGAAATCATCTCTTAGTCAAAAGCTTTGAACACACACACCACACCACACACACACACACACGTTTTGTGTAATAAAGACCAATCATGTTGGGAAAAAGAAACAAGACAACTTAACAACACTTCATTGTTTTCGTGTTGATCTCTTATTAGTATGTCGTGGTCTTTTTGCATTTCGACAAACCCCATCACATCTTGTTATCTTCATTTTCAGCAAACAAATATGTAATTATTTTTCCTTACAAAATTTGCCTCATAACATTGTGACAACAAGATTTTATTGTCTGTCACGTCTCATTCCGTTTCGAGGGTTCTTTCATCTATTTACACATGAAAAAAGAGAAATTAAAAATAAAAAATCTCGAGACCATTTCATAACCTCATCAAAGTTTCGTTTAAAAGATAAAATATGTATTAATTACCAATGGTTAAAAAACACATTTGAATTTTAACCAAATTTTAAAAATGAAAACATATATATTTATTGATCCAAACTTTGACTTGTTTTATTTAACACGTGTTTTTTGTTGGCTTATTGGCCCTTGATCTCACATTAATTAATTTCAATGAATTAATTATTGATGTTTTGATGATAACAAACCTACTTTTAATTATTAACTATTTTCAGTTTTTTGAACTGTCCACAGTATAAGGTCGGGAATAACGATTACAACAACTTTTCAATTACTCAAATCAGAGCTAAAACGAAGAAATTAGAGTCGAGACAACATACCCGACGTGATGATGTGGCAACAAAATCAAAATGATGGACAAATCAAAATATATCAAAGTATGACATTTATAATATTGGAAGAGTAACACATGGTGGAGTTTTTCTTATTATTACATTTCTAAATAAAATTATTTTTACAAATATAAATTTGAATATAACCGTTACTCACATCGAATTTTATTATTACTATATTATATTATTATATTATTATATTTTAAAATTTTGGTAGTTACTCACATCATTTTTATTATTATTATATTATTATATTTATAATAAATTTTGAATTACATTTTACCGTTACTCACATAACTTTTTATTATTATTATATTATATTACTATTATATTAAAATTTTGAAATAAATGAATTTAGAAAATTTTCTTACTTAATTACTTTTAATCTCCACCTTCCATTATTCCTAACACAATCCAATGGTCAATATTCAATCCTACATTTTGCCACTTTTCTCCTCTATATAAACTCATCTTCCCCACATTTTTAAAAGACACAACTTACATACATTCTTCAATCCTCATTTGTTCAAAGTCTCCATTGTTTATTGCTCTCTCCAAGCTTACAAGTTTATTTCTTTTCATCTTATTCTTGAGAGGGATTATTATTATATTGTGAGGAAATAGTTGTCAGTATCCCAAATTGTAAATCTACTCTTTGAGAGAGTTGTGGTGTGTTATTATCAAACTCAAATACTTGTATCGGTTTGATCCTGCGTCGTTGAAAGGATTGAGTTTGCTCTTGAACTCGTAAAAAGAGCGGTGTACCGGTTTGGCTCTGATCCGTGGAAAGAGTCGGAAAAGTTCTTTATTCAAATTCCCAAGAGGCGCTTGGGGAGTGGAGTAGGTCGAGTTTGACCGAACCACTATAAAACTACGGTGTCATTTTCTCTAACTCTTTCCTATTTAATTTCAAGATTATTATTATGTTTATTGCATGTTCTACTTGATTATTGTTTTGACTTGAATTATTTTGTTTTAGTAATTATCATCTTCTACTTATTTGTAAAAAGTTTTATCATTAGAAAAATTAATCAAGTTTAAACACTTTTATCGTTAAAACCCTATTCACCCCCCCTCTAGGGTTGCCATACCGATCCAACAATTGGTATCAGAGCAGGTTGCTCCTATAGATTTTTTATCTAAACTTTATTGTTCGAGCTTATGGCAAACCTACGTGTTAAAAATGGTTTTAGTGAAGGACAATCAACTTCTAGGCCACCTTATTTTGATGGAACAAATTATACATGTTGGAAAGCTAGGATGAAAATTTATTTGCAATCCGTTGATTATCAATTGTGGTTAAATGTTAGTAATGGTCCTTACATTCCAATAAAAATTGTTAATAATATTGAGGTGCCTAAATTAGAAAATGAATTTGATGAGCATGATATGAAAAAATGTTCTTTGAATGCTAGTGCTATCAATTGTCTGTATTGTGCCTTAAGTAATGATGAATTTAATAGAGTATGTATGTGTTCTTCGGCATATGAAA